ATGAGGCACTGACCACCAATGGCTGCTGCAGAACACAAAGACAACCTGTCCTATGTGACTCTTGCTCCTATCAACAGGATTTAAAAAAAAATAAAAACTGCATCTGATCAATTTTGTATAACTTTAAAAGTATACGAGAGGGCCGGCTGAGTGGCTCAGTTGGTTAAGAGCTCGCTCAAGAGTTTGAGCTCTGAGCAACAGCGGTTCGAGGCCAGCCCGAGCTGAGCAGCCNAAGAGCTCGCTCAAGAGTTTGAGCTCTGAGCAACAGCGGTTCGAGGCCAGCCCGAGCTGAGCAGCCGCTAAGCTGCCAATAGGTAGCAGGATGGCAAAAAAAAAAAAAAAAAAAAAAAGTATACGAAATAGGAAGCACAGAAGGAACATACATATAAGGACATAATCAGTAAAATCCAGCGTGTGTAAAAATGGAAAACACTACAGGACAAATCACCCAGACTGTTCAATAAATAAATCTCTAGGAAACATAAAAGGAAACGGTAGTGGAATCTCTTAAAAACAAAAACAAAAAAACTTTTAAGATCAACTCCAATGTTTGAACCTTATTTGGATTCAAATTCAAACATCAAAAAATTAACATTAATGAAACGAATACTGTCAGGATTTTTGAAATTTAGGAATATGCATGTGTACATATGTGTACATATTATTATGGTGTTGGTTATGTTTTTAAAGAGTCATATTTTGAAGATAAATAATGAAATATTTATCAATAGAGTGTTATATCCAGAATGTGCTTCAAAATAACAGAACTGGCCAAGCATAAGTAAAAAAAAAAAACAAAACAAGATTGGTCATAAATTAATTGTTGAAGCTGGGTAATGAACATGGGTGTTTTGTTGTACTATTTCAATTACTTCTGTATATGTTAATATTTTCAATAACAGAACAGTCAATGATGACAAAATATTTATTTGGACTGACTGCTGTCTGTCTATAGACCTGAACTGCAAGGTTTAACAACTGGTTTGTAACCTTTAGTCGCAGGAACACTTAAGAATTTGGCATTTGGCCAAATCATTCTTGAGACTCTTAACTTAGATTTCATAGGCATGCACTAAATCCAAGATAAGTGAGAATCTGGCTGAAGTTACTATATACACTTGGTCAAGGACTTGTACAAATAGTTGGGTCAAAATTGCTTTTCTAGTATCAGTGACATGCTACTGTACAGGAGAGTGGGAACTAGGTAAAAAAGTTGGAAGTGACCCAGAGGTGATGACTTCACTGAACTAAGGTGGTCTTTCCTCACCCAGTTGTGCCCCTCAGCATCATGAAAATATCAAGTGTGAAATACCTGGGATGTGTGCAAGCTCTGCCCAAAATACATGAGATTTCCATTATGCTGTTGCTGTACAAGATGTGCTGTTTTCTGCCCTGTATCCTTTCTTTTTTTTGTTGTTTTTTGTATCCTTTCTTAAAGGTAAATAATCTTATTGCCAAGTGAAGCTACCTTGTCCCATGAGTTCAGTTGTTAACCTGAACCCAAGACCACTGCTGCTGGTGAGGCAGAGTGGGTATGCAAATATGTACAACCTTCAAAAGAATCTACTTATATATATATGAAAAATGAGGGATGGGGGGAGAAATCAAACTCAAATAAATATAAGAAAATAAATTCAAATGAATATGAGTAACTAAATAAAAATATCAAGACCACACAATATGTTAGCAAAATAAAAGTATTCCACATAAGCACAAAATATAGCTGTTAAAATTACTTGACAAAATATAGTAATGCTTTATCCCACGGTTAACAAAGCTTGCACTAATTCCAACTTTTATATTTATTTTGCATTCTTTGGATTCTTTCCTATGAGAAATATATTGTAGTTTGTTTCTTTAAAAAGCAAGCCCATTCTCCCCACCAAATGTATTAAATATATTTCAAATGACCATTATTTAGTTTACACATTACTTTTCAAAAAAGCGGTTGAGTGAAGCAAGATATTACAACAATATGGAAGGCCAGAAAGAGATTTATAACTTTATAACTATTTTTATGGTAATATTATCTGCCTAACTATCAGATGACATCAACTATAAAAGGAAAAGAAACTGGTTTTAGGAAAGATGCCCTGGAAGAGAGCTTAGAAAGTTCATCTAAGATGAAAAAATCTCCCCCTTTTCATATTTGTCCATATTATTTTATGTGCAAAATTTAATTTATGTGCCCTTTTCCTATGAGTCTGTTCAGCAGGAAAAAAAAAACAAGAAACAAAAAAAAATAAATAAAAAAACGGAATATGATTGAAAAATGGCAGTTAAACAACAGAAGAGTAATAAGGCAAAAAATAGACACAATATCAATACTAGATTACACTCTATTAATAGACTGTAGCTTTGGTTACAAATCTGTGTTATCCTAAATTTAAAAATATTATTTAGGCACACTGTGAATCTGACTGAAATTTTATCCTTCTCAGATCAACAACTCAGTCTAACTGGCTTGTATTAGATATATACCGAACATGAAGCTCAGACACTAAGAGAAAGAATTATAGAGTATATGAGGAAGTTCCACAGGGAACTTTATAAGACATGCGCTCTGCCCTTGCAGAGTTTACTATCTACTTGAAAAATAAGATCCACAAGTTTGAATTCAATAGCAAACACCATTGGAAAATATACACTTAACAAATTTTCTAGAAACTCTGACTATAACTTGTATATGGATTTAGAAGTGAATATGGTCAACAAGGACAAGTGTCAAGTAGAAAGGCTTTGTACAAGAACAGTTAGTTCTAATGTTACACAACATGTGTCCTAAAAATCACTGTGCTATGAAAAACTGCAAAATAAAAACCACATGGCTTATGGGAAAAATGGGGCACAATCTTCTTTGGGGGTGGGGTGTGGTAGGGGGTGGTGTAATCCTACTAATTAGGCATTGACTTTACTTAACAACAAACTCCATTAAGTGCAGAACATTTTACTTGTAAAAATCTAAGGTGAGACAATGCTGCCTCACTAGTTTTTTATTTGAAATCTATAGATTTTTATACCAATGAATTTCACATGACAACTTTATATTGAAGAAAAATTTTAGGCCATCATCAAAATAAAATTTGAAATAAACAGAACTATTCCTAAAATAAGTCTCCTTTAGATAGTTTCATTCCATATTACTGGTCTCTTCTTCTAAACACTTTCTAAACTTGAACATCCCACTATTTTCCAGTAAAAAGTAGCATCACCGTGGCTCTTAATTCCAGAATAAGGACACAAATAGGATCCTCTCATCATAAAAATGAGTCTCTGGTGTTCTTCTCCATAGTCTCCTGAGTACAGGATACACCAGCTGCTTCCTCTATTGTGCTCTTCTCTCTATATTGCCAACCAATCTGCTTCCTGCCACATATAAGCAAAATTACTGCTCATTGCCATGTTGTCACAACTCAGAACTTCAGTTTCTATGTAATATAGCAATGTCCCATCTTTTGTATGGCCAAGGTGGACAGGTCTCTCTTTAAACTGCAGTAAATCCTGAAGAGACCAGCATAACCTGAAGTCATGCCAACTCCTGAAAAACGATTGTAGGAAGTACCTTAATCAAGGTAGTGGTTTCAATCTCTAGAGGTCAGTGATCTATTGTATCATCTACTCTGCCCCTTAATAGCCTCTATAGGGATGTAGTTTTATTAGCTTCCAGTGTTTCAACTCTGCATCTGTTGGAAGGTTCTTCTCTCAGGCTCTGAACCTTCTTAAGCACATTTAAACAGCCACAAAAAGCAGAATTTCCAATCTTGCAATAATAGCAAAGGGAAAAAGGCCCAAGAAGGCTGCCCAGACTCACCAAGACCACATATAGGTGGGCCCAGACAGTCAGATTTCTTCAGAAGTCTTTTTGTTTTCTTTCAGGAAGTTAGAAAAAGAATTAAAAACGATTCTGTGTTTATTTCTTTTTAAACTGGGGTGTAAATCTCTCAAACAAGGTTTTAATTGCAATGATGGTGAACTCCACAGTGTTGCACAAAGCTTTTTGACTGTTCTCAATTTAAAACTGTAAGGAGGCCATGAAACCTATAAAATGGATATAAGACACAGCTCTGCCTAAAAAAAGATCACATAAATAAATGCACGACAAAATCTACTCCAACTAATGTTCTGAATGGTAGTTGAAGGGCTGTACAATAACAAGTGCCAAACTGTGTGATCTCAAACATAAAGATCTTTTCCTCTTTCCACAGTGTTATTTAGAATAGCACAGGCACGGGAGGTATGGCTCAAAACAAATGTGACCTTTGCAGGAACTCCTAGGCAGATACTAATAATGGGCCAAATTTCCCCAACTGGTGAAACTGATAAGAGCAAAGTATGCTTCCTTAGCATGAGCTTGAGGAACATACACTAAGATGCTACATCAACTTTCAACACAACTTCCTGATCACAGCAGCATGGGCAAAATGAGCATTTATTCTTTTCAGATGAAAATACATTATAAAGGCATAAATACTGGGTTGTCGGAAATGTCATGATGCATTTTGCAATGAAAACATACAAAAAAATCATGACTTTTCCGACAACCCAATAATATGTAAAGAGTGACATTCATTCACTTTCTCATCCTTTCAGCAAATATCAAACACTGGTCTTTTAATACCAAAAGAATCTTTACAACAAATTTTGGGCTGGCCGAGTGGCTCAGCTGGTTAAGAGCTGGCTTGGGAACACCAGCTGAGCAGCAGGGCCAAGGTTCAGATCCCACATTGAGGGCCAGNAAGACATTTTGATGACATTCAGGACATCAAGGGTAATACGACGACAGCTCTGATGGCCATTCCAGAAAAAGAGTTCCAAAATTGCTTTGAAGAGTAGACCAGGCGCTGGCATTGGTGCATAGCTTCCCAAGGGGAGTACTTTGAAGGCAACCATAGTAATATTCAGCAATGAGGTATGCAGCACTTTTTCTAGGATGAGTTCTTGAACTTAATTGTCAGACCTCATACAATGCTATTAAGATTTATGGGAAAAAAATCACCTACCCTTGGTCCTCTTCCTTTAATTTTCCTGCCAGACCTAGTAACTAAAAGTCGCCTCTGGTATGAAGCAGGCTGGGAGTTAGGTGGATTACTAAAAGGAATCAAAGGGAAAATTCAAACACATTATTTTATTAAAATAAATCTGGAAAACACAGTTTTACTAATTTAAACTTATAAATTTTAAATCTTATATATAATCAGGGATTCTCAAGCAGAAATGTTATGAATTTCTACTAGATATCTGGAAACGTATGGGAGCATTATTTTCAACTTCCAATGACTAGCGGGTGCTATTGGTACCAAGTGCTCAGGAGTCAAAAATGCCAAAATTTTGTAATGCATGAGGATCAAGAACTATTCTGCCCCCAAATTCCAACTGTGTCCTGTGGAGAAACACTGTTATAAAATTGTTATAAAATTATTAACTAAGATAAAGTTAACTTGATAGCACTAAGGAAAATCAACATAGAACAAAGAGCTCAGAGTAGGCTATAAGCTGTTGAGAGAACAATTTAAAAACTATCTTATTCCAAAGTACCTTATTATCCTATGAGCAGCTGTTCATTGGTAATAAAACTACAGAGAGGGTATTAATGTGAATTAAGCAGAAACAAAACTGGTCTGAATTAGCAGAACGTTTTTATATTTTACTGTATTATGAACATATAGAGGGATTGCTCAGAATTTTATTACTTTTATGTAATATAATTCTGACCATAAGTAAAAGACTTCAACCTTTTATGTAAAAAATATTTCAAGTATTTAACATGGTATCAATTTTCATTACCACAACATCATAAACTAAAAGGAAAACAGCATTTTTTTTCCCTAAGGAGAAACTGAAAAATAAAGGCTTTTGCTTCCTTTAAAGTTCAATGTATACAAATAACACAGTAAAACACTTATCTTGCTTTAAATAGAATTGGTTTAGAATGACATTACCTTTTTGGCATTTGCAGTGTTTAGTTTCTTAAAAAGTAACTTTTACTCAAAATGTGTTTGAATTAGGTCAATTTATCTTTTTGCTATGTGGTTAGCAGAAAAAGAGCTTTAACTAACATTATCCTTAACAAAAAAAATTTCCATCTTGGGATAAGATCACCATTTGAATCTTGTCTAAAAGAAGTAAAAACTTAAGTAATTTATGGTAAAGAATGTGGGGCACTCTGCAAGATACAGACATTCACATACCATTCTCTTTCTCTGTCTCTTTCTCTGGGTTTTCTTTCTTTTTCATCAGCTTTAGGAGGACTTTTTCTCATCAGAAATCTATTCTCAGGTATAGGAGGGATCTCTTCTGGACGGACAGTAGACTGGGGTTGTGCTTCAAGATTTTCAGCTTCACTTTCACTAGATGCACTTAATAGGAAGACAAAACAAGTTTAATTTGGCTATTATGTGCCTACCTCAAATTTCCAATTGTTAGTAATTTTTTCCCTTGGAAGATGTCACAATATATACACCATCCTGTACCCCTTCAAAGGTGCAATTACATGGGGAAAATCTTCCTTCATGCCTCTGACAAACCAAGTGATCGACCAAACACCCAAGCCAAATGTTTCCATTGCCACATTCTTAAAAAATATTTCCCAATAAAATGAATCAAAATATGAATCTCCATAGGCAATGTATTCTGATAAATTTAAAATACTTTAAAATATAGGTAAAGATATTACTTTAGAGGCAACAGGCATATAAAGACAAGTTTTAGTACAAAACAGATTACTCCACACAAAACAAAGAAACAAAACAGACATTATCTGCTTTCTACCCATATACCCTTTGAGGAGCTAAGTAAATAACAACAACACAAGACAATTGTTAGTTTCCTATAATTCTCATTAATACTATATTCCCCCCACAAATACAAACCTATAAAGCAAAAGCATTATTCCACTGAGTTCAGACAAAATAAACAATGGTTTTGTTGAAAATGGAAATGAATGGGCTTCAGATTAAGACGGTGGAGCAGGAAAATGCTGTGCTTACCTCATCCCACAACCGCATCAAAATTACAACTAAACTACAGAACCACCATCATTGAGAGCCACATGAAGTCTAGCTAAACAGAAGTCCTATAACCAAGGATAGAGAAGAAGCCATGTCCAGACTAGGTGGGGTAGAGATGCTGAACGAGCTGGTCCCACACCCACGTGTGGCAGTTAAAAATAGGGAGGAATATCTTAACAGCAGAGGTCCCCGCTGAAGAGCAAGGGGCCCCAGCTCCACACCAGGCTCCCCAGCCCCGTGTTTCAGTGTCAGGAAGAGAAGTCCCCATAACTTCTGGCTGTGAAAACCAGTGGAGATTGCGGCTGAGTGAGATGAGGGTGGCTTCAGTCCCAGGTGCTCCTCTTAAAGGGTCTGAACATGGACTTACTCGCTGATGGACTCACTTGCTCTGAGCTCCAGTGCTGGGGCAGCAGCTGAAAGGCATCAGGGGCATACAGAGAGGAACTAAATTGTCTAGCTTTAGGGAGAGGGCTGTGGGAGAGGGGGGCTTTCTCCCAGAAAGAAGTGCTGGCCCTCCTACCACTCAGCCTGCAAGCACAGTGAGGTTGACTCTTCATCAACCTAGCTAATACCATTTGCTTGTTAACTAGTACCTGGTGATTCTGAGACCTTAGCCTACCCAAGCCGCTTCCAGTGGCTTTTCCATACAAATGGCCTGTCTTGACTCATACTGTGAGCTTTCCTAAATTCTCTCAAAGGTTCACAAACCTCAAACAAGCAGCATCTGGCCTTGGTGTACCCCGTACCTCTTGATAAGCAACTCCATGCCCGGCACTAGTGGCAGCCAGCCTAAGTTCGCAGTTTACCCTCTCCCAGACACATCTAAGCCCAGCATAAGTGGCAACCATCTGCACATCACCTTGTAGCTCATACCAAGTGGCCCAGGCAGCAACTGATCTTGGCCTGCACCCAAGTCCCTCCCAAGAGACCCCAGAACCAACACACTCAAGTGGCCAGCTTTAGGCCAAACCA